GTTGGTCGCCCAATCGGCCTCGGTGCTGCGGAACCGACGAGACCACGGAGTGCCGAGAATGAAGTCGTACCCCGTCTCCATCACATCGAAATGTGCAGAGGAGCGGTGGTGACAAGACGCCGGGGAACGCTTAGTCGGCTCGAGAGTGAGGAAGAAGGGGAGGTCGGTGACCGTCTGATCGAAGAAGCGCTGGGTATTGTCATCCCCTAGGGTAACGGAGATGGGAGTCGGAGACCCTGTCGTGGGTAAGCGGGCTTCCTTCACCACGCGTGGGTGAATGAAGTCGCCCTGAGAACCGGAATCCCACAGCGCTGAGTACACCCTCGTGGAGGTCCTGAGTCGTACGGGGATGATCGGAAGAGTGCGAACAGGGTCAGAGAGGATGGCGAGAAGGCGACCCAGTGCAGCGACATGGAGGGTGAGTCGCTCCTGACGAGCCTCGAGCATGCTCAAGTCCAGAAGAGAGGACACAACGTCCTCGCGAGTAGCAAGCTGCTCGCTGCAACGGGCTGAGCGAATGGCTCGACGCGTCGGTAGTCGCCGCGGGGGAGGAGGGGAGACGGTGGTCTGCGGAGGCGCAGACGGTACGGCAACAGAGGGCTGAGTACACTCTGTCGAGTCCTGCGATACCTTAACTCCAGTAGCGAGAGGGGCGAACCGCGACGGAGATGTCGGGAAGCCCACTACTGAGGAGGGCGCAGGTGTACACTTCACCGTGGCTAGGAGGCGCCGCGGGGACGTGAGGCGCCGGGGGGGGACTGAGCACGACGATGACGAGAAAGGTCAGCGTAGTGGCGGTCAAGGGCGGTAGTGTAAGGGCACCGCGAGGAGGTATGACCGTCGACACACGTTTTGACCCCGTGGGGGTAACGAAGTGTTGCCGAAATTTTCTTATTTTCTCTTAGTCTTTTCGGCACACTTCGACCCCATGGGGGTAACGAAATGCTGCCAAAATTTTAAAAAAAATCTGATAACCCATTTCTCCCCACCTCCTCACACACTTATTTACTTATTTATTTCTTTATTATTTCTTATTTATTTTCTGAAATTTCTTTTTTTTTTTTTTATTTGCGGCATCTCTAGTGTGCACATCGCGGTCTCTCCTTTTCCCTTGGCACATTCTAGACCCCGTGGGGGGTAGGGAAATGCTGCCGAAAATTTCAAAAAAAATAAATATTGTTCCTCTTCACATCTTTTTACTTATTTTTTTAATTATTTTAATTATTTATTATTTATTTATTTTCTTATTTATTTTATTTCCTTTCGAAATCTCGCTGTTCATTTATTTTTCTCCCGTCTCCCCCCCACCCCTATGCTTGCTATTTTACTTTCTTGATTAAGTCAGTGGTACCTTACCCTAGCCTTAAACCTCAGTTAGGGTTTTCTTAGGGGTTTTGTAGGGTCTAGGGTTCCTCAAAACCCCCCCTACTTCCCCGTCCTCTTCGGGCACCCTGGACCCGAACCACCCCTCCCCCTTTGACGGCGCCCGTGCTAGCCTTGCTAGCGCCGTTCGCCGCTTTCTACCGCGGACTTCCCCCTACGCCCTCCGCTCACGCGGACCTCTTCTGGCCCCCTCCAGTCCGGTCCGTCATCTCCCCATGGCCGACAGTGCGTCACACGCCGTCGACACGGCGATGACCACGACATCGGGCTCCACACTCGTGTCGGCGGACCAGGCCCATCAGCCCCAGGCGGATCTACACACCCTCCTCACCTCCCTCCTCGCGCCCATCCAGGCGCAACTCGCGACCCTCGGGCGCTTACAGGCGCAGGTGGCGACCCTTGCCGCCGGCGTGCAGCAACTCCAGGACGCTGGTCGTCCTTCCTCTCCTCATCCTCTCTCTTCTCCTGGCTCTCAGTCCGGGTCCCCAATTCTCCGACASGGTGGCCACGGCGGAGTTTCCTCCTCTGCCGCCCCCGACCCGGCCATTTTGGTGACCGTCCACGCCCCTAGCTCGACGGCCGCCACGAGTCAGGCCCTTCCTCAGTCTACGGGCGCACCGACCCAGATTCCGGTTACGACGGCCACGGGACCACAACCCGTTATAATGGTCTCAGCGTTTCCGGGTGCCCCGCTCCGCCCCCCCCTTCGCACGACCGCAACGCCACCTGGCTCTCCCCCCTCTGGGATGCCCCGCGCCGCTTGTGCATCCACTTCCTCCACTCTTCCCCCTGCTACCCCTCGCACGACCTACGTTCGAGGTCTCGAGGACGAGATTGCCCAGCTCCGGGCCAACCTCGCCCTCTTATGCCTTCAGCCACCCCCACCCTCACAGTTGGCCGCGCCTTTGGGCGCACCCCCTACCTCCTCTACCCTTCCTCCCATGCAGGCTCGCTTTCCGTGCCCTGCACCCTATACAACTCCTTCCTACCTTCTTCCTACTCCCGCGGTTGCTGCGACCTCTTCTACCGCAGCACCCTCGCAGCTTGCCGTTGTTGCCACCGCCGCTCCCCCATGCGGCCCGGGCGCACAGTCAGCTGCGCCCC